ATAATAAACGATTTTTAGGTTTATGATTTAGAAGAAGGGTTTATCAGATTTTCCAGAAACGAAAAAAATGGTATGTGACACGCTGGCCTTTCATAAACCCTTTTTTTAGTGTATGTAGCTCACAAAACTTTTGATATTGAACCCGGGAAGGAAAACATCAATGTGCACGGTTGGTCACAGAGCAACAGTAAAAAGACAGCAACTCAGCATGCAGTTATTAAGACATCATGCATTCATTCTAAAAAACTAACACCTATAATTTTCCGATTAATAGAATGCACTTTTTTACACTATCGTGTATGTTCTACAACGTGCCATAAAGTACGTAGGATATCTTGGAGAGGGATTCGAGAATTTCTTGTAAGGATTCGTTAATACGTGGGATCAAAAAACAAAAGAGGTGGACCAATATACAACTCGACGAGCTCTATCGACTGGTATCATTTTCAACTCATTTACATGCCAAGAACCTCCCAAAATTGCTAACCAAACCCAAAAGCGAGATTCTTTCAGAAAAACCTGTATGGATTCGCTAATTCGGGGGACCAAAACATGAAGATCATATCAGCAGTTAGAACTCATCGAGCTCTATCGAATAAACAACTTTTGAGGTCGACTCGATGCTAGGATCCCCTGCGAAAGGGCAAATCCGCATTTTAGTTCAAGATTCATTAGAAAAATTTTTGTTTGTCTATTTTTTTTGTACCCAACAAATATTAAAAAGTTTTGTTTACTTGAAAGAAAAGCTTTAGACTTCTTATTTCTTATTCTTTTTTTTATTAAGCTTTTCATTTAGTTTTTCTTTTTTCTAATTTCTTTGAAGTTGAATTGTTCGAGAGGACGGTACGGCAACGACATCGTCTTATTCATATTTTATTATTTTCTGGAAAAGAATGATGCATGTAGAGAAAGAGGGGAAAAGTTACTGGTTAATAAGTTTGTAAGCGTGCGAAAGGGAGAAGGAAAGAAGAAAAAACAAACATTTTTCTTGATATCACGATCCTCGCGCTCGTATTATTCATCAATATATTTATCGACAGAAAGAAAAAAAAATTGAAACTTTGCTCCTTCAGTTCAATAGAGAAGAAGGAACGAAAGAGGGATATATATATATATATATATATAGATAAGTGCATTACACGCATATACATATGCAGGAGAGAAAATAAAATTATTGGATAGTTTCAGTCGATCAATCAGTTATCGAACCGAGAAAATAATTCTATGATTGACAAGTTTATGACAATTCCTACCTAAAAAAAGATTTTTAATTTTTTTAAATTTTGGTTTAGATACTTTTTCCTATTCCCGATCCAGCTTTTCTTCTCAAACTCACAAAAATAAGACGATGTTGTTGCCTTACCGTTCTCTCGAACAATTCAAATTAAAAGAAATTAAAAAGAAAAGAAAAACTAAATTAAAAACTATATAATAAAAGAAAAAGAAATCTTTAGTTTTTTTCTTTCATGTAAATAAAACTTATTAATATGTGCTGGGTACTAAAACAAAATAGATAAACAAAAAATCTTGTCATCAATTTGGAATTAAGATCTGGATTTGCCCTTTCGGAGGGGGTTCTAGCACCGAGTCGAGGTCAAAATGTGTTCACTGGATAGAGCTCGTCGAGTGCTATCTGCCTGTATCGTTTTCATGTTCTGGTCTCACGAATTAGCGAACCCATACAGGTTTTTCTGAATAAACTTGGTTTTCGGACTTGATTAGCATTTTGGAAGGGATTTCAGCATATGAATTAGCTTAAAAGGTGTCCACTGGATAGAGCTCGTCGAGTTGTATTGACTGGAGTCATTCTCACGTCTTGGTCCCACGGATTAGCGAATCCTTACATGTTTCACAAAACGATTGCGATTTTTTTGCCTTTTTTGCAGTTTTTCAGGTTTTTCTCCAGGTAGGAAGGGTGCTGAAGAAAAAGTAAATAATGCATTCGATAGAGCTCGTCGAGTTCTATCTTGGTCCACCTTTTTTATTTTTTGATCCCACGTATTAACGAGTCCTTACAAGAAATACTCGAATCGCGCTCCAAGATATCCTACGTCATAAAGTTTCATTTCGAATATTGAAATCAAAACCTAGTCACTGCAGTAACGCGTTACGTGGATAAGCCGTAGAGCTGGAAATTGAATGAGCGTTTCTTATTGAACGGTTTTTAGGGTATTCCAAAAAGTAGAACAATTTGGCGATACGATGTTAGAAATGAATTGATTTCATTTCTATGCTCAATGTTGTTTATACCCGCTTTGTAATATTTTGTGCTATGTCCTGAGATTGAGCTTATCTTCTTCGGTTCTTGTACGTCGATAGCAATTCTGCAGATACTGTTTGTGTCTCAGCATTATTCTTCGTGTTTCAGCCATGGTGGGTTGGGATGTGGGGTGCGAGGTGTAAATGAATGTGGGTGTGTTTGTCGTAGTGGTTTTCTCTTAACATGGAAAATGTCAACCCTACGAAAGCCGCCACTCGAACACGCACACAATCAAGAGTTTTCTGAGACCATCATAGACCATGACAGATGGCTTCAGAAAAGCAGCTTCATATATGAATTATGCAGGGATTGCGATAACAGCTTTTTTTAAATTGATTCTTAGGACGAAACGCGTTGAATTATGGTACATCGGCTTTTGTTAGCTTTCATCATACTAAGCCTATTGGTTTTGGCGAAGGTGGAGCTGTTATTATCGACCGTAAATATGAAATGGCAGTTCGTCAATCTATAAACTTTGGTTACGATGTTCCTAAAGGAGATGTTCGTTGGTTGGCAGAAGGAAGCAACTACAAAATGAGCGATGTTCAAGCTGCTTTCATCTATGCTTATCTTGATACGTTTCACGATATTCTCGATGCAAATATGTCTTTGTACGAAAGACTGAAGCAAGAAATCTACAAGCTTAATATTGATATAAACTTCCTACCAAACTTTTCTTCAACAACTCCTTTTACTTCCTGTTGTCCAGTTTTATTCAAACGGTCGATTGAAGAGAGTCTCCTTAAACTAGTAGCATGCGAAGATTCTATTGATATTCGTAAATATTACAAACCTCTAATATCAATCAGGTCTCTTGCTCCAGTTTCATATGATGTGTACGATCATATTGTTTGCTTCCCATGCCATTCTCAAATGACTGATCAAGATGTGTTGAAAATTCTTCATGTCATACAAAAACTACATGAAAAAAGTCTCGTAGTATGAAGAGCTCAATTATCGAGTCTTCGAAAGACTAACACTAAATTTATCAAACTTATGGCATGATTCATTTAATTACTAAATAGAACTGAAGCCCATAATAAAGATGTTCTTTCCTTAAGATTTTTCTAAGAAAGAGTTATAAAAGTAACTCTGTTTTCAGTATTTGAACTGAAAAACCAAGCTCAGTATATAGTGAGAGTTGGGTGTGGGTGTTCTTTGGTGTGAGCCTGGTACACTGTAAATAAAAGCGCAGAATAATCAACCCTTGCCCTTGATTTTGCTTTTCATAAACTCTTGAGGGATTTATGAGGATGGCAGATACATTTGCAGTGTTCATGATCCAAAGGGTATTTGAAGAGGCACAGTGTATATGGGGCTCTTTTAAGGGTTTTGTATTTCATATTTTAAGGAAAGCAGTTTATTATTAAACGATTAGGGGTAGATTAATAAATCCATTTTTGACAAACGTTCCTAATTCAGCAATGAAGGATAGATTATTATTCGGTTCAAAGAGAAGGTTTATTATAATACGCTAGAGGGTATATTACTATTAGATGCTATTCAGAAGGGTATATTAATCTACACCTAAGGGTAGGTTATTGTACGGTTTCAGATAGTTTTTAACGATCATTTATACATTTTCTCCATATCTTTTATATTCAAAGATATTTGTTAAAAATGATTCATCACATATTAACTTAATTTTTTACTAATAGTGTTTTCTTGCTTATATTTAGATCATCATGATCCGTTAATAAAATTTTGCAACCGAGCTTTCATCTTAATTGACTAGCCCCTTCTTGATAATCTGCTGTCAAGTATCAACATGTAAGTATTATTAACCGTTTCAATTCATATTGTCTATATTCAAGAAACATTCATGAAAAACGTTTTTTTCAGGTTCTGTTCAGCTTGTGCTTTTCAACATATTTATTTGGTATGCGTGATTTACAATTTTACTGGGCGTCGCTTCTACTGAGGAAAGTAATAACAAATGTTTTCAATATATTGTTGGTTTTTAATATCTAATCTTTTATTGGGGTTGATTAAAATTAATATTCAACTTTGACGCAAGAAGTGCTATTATAAGTCTGTTTATTTCAGAATTATCATATTCCATTCAAAATCATGAGGATAAGTTTAAATTAAAATTATAACTGACATTTTTGTTTTGTAAAAGTATATCAAAAATATGGTTCATATAACTTAAAAAAAAAGTGTACTTTTTGTATTTGACCTCTATCTTCGCGAAAATATAATTTATTCCAGAAACATTTATTACCAAAATGATCAGCGAAAGATTCTCTACAAGCCCTGAACGTTTCAATGGAATTGAGCGTGGTCGCCGGAATGACCCGGTGATTTCTGGTGGAATGACCCATATCAGACTATTACCTTGACTCAATAGAATGTTTGGTTTCGCTTAGATAAACAATGAAGAAGAGAAGAGCTGAGAATTCTAAATTTTTTTCAATGAGCTGATTCTTTCCTGTATGTTATTGTGAACAACACACTAAAATATGACAATAATTATAAATTACATTTCATTTCTTTTATTGCAAAACAATAGTTAGATACGTTTGTGCACATATGGATATGTTTTATATTTCTCAATAAATGTTTTATTTTTGCCTAACTGCAGTATATTTACCCAGATTTCTGAGCAGAATTTCATAAGATGGGGAATTTGATTTTGCGACAAAATCAATAACTCAAACGCAAAAATAATTTGCAGCAAAATCAAGAAGGTGAAACAGTAGATCCTCTTACCGTATTCGCGGTATTCGAGGATTGTGAGCCTCAAGAAGTTGAAAGTGTTGATGAATCTTTGAATGGAAAGATTTGTGAATATGCAAACGAGCAGGATACTCAAGTCTTGAAGAAAATTATCGGTTGCATAGTTATGTCAACTGTCATAGAGTTTTTGTCGTCTTAGCAGATTAGGACAGGATGCAGCAGATGGATAATTATTCATAATATTAGCAAAATGGTCGACTTTGACTTGTTTTCATGAAGCTGTTGGTATTGTTTCGCGGACTAAGAACAGGTTTTTTTCGTATTTGTGTCTTTAGGAACTGAAATAACATTTCTATTACAAATTAATATGTAAAAAGAAGGAAAGTGTTACTGGATAGTAGGAGCAGTGGATATAGTTGGTATGGTATAAAGAATGTATTGTAAATAAAAGAAGTGTTTCTTATTTATATGTGAAAGCAATTGTTTGAGCCTATTGTAAGAGGTGTGTCTGTTTGAGGTTTGTGTCAATAATCTATATTCTCATATATTCAGAAAATCATGTGTACCTTTTTATGAATGATACACCCCCTCTTGATTCAGATATCTACGTTTCTCCATTATGGAATTTCTTCTTATTCCCTATATGGATAATCAGAGTAGTCGACAAGAACGATTAGATATTATGATGTTTACAAAAGCGTGAGTACAAGGTTAGGGCATAATAGGAAAGAATATATTCTGGATACTATCAGTGCATCATTAGATCAAAGATGACATGGATGAGCTTAAGATTTTATGTATAGAGAAGGAAATAGAGAAAGAAAATAGTGAGAGTACAAAAGGACGAGAAAATATAGTAAGTGGGGGTTAGATAATTTTAGAGTGGTATTGAGTGGTAGTGGTATAGATAGTAAGAAAAAGAGTTAGCTAGTTAGAAATATTAAGTAGAAGTTACAATACAGAATCGTGAAACAGTTATCGTTCAACATTTATTATTATTGTACATGTTGTAATCATTTATCAATATTATGTCAAAGTGTTATTATCTGTGTGTGCTCATATTATTATTAAAATAAATATCATCAAAACCCGTAACGTTATATTTTGATTTATCAATTCACCCAGAACCAAAGAATAATAACCCACGAAATATTTCGTTACAATGGGCACCAAAGTAGGCTTGGCCAGTTTCGCGCCGATGTATGGAAGGCCTCCGTAGGACGTAAAATATATACATATATACAAAAAGTTATACTTACTCTTTGTGTATCACTAAAATAGATAATAGAAAAACAATTATAAAATAGAAATAGAAAAAGGTAAAATTGAAACTAAAATGAAAATAGAAAGACAATTATAATCATATAAAAATTAAAATAAATAAATGGGGTAAAAAGCTGAGATAACGAAAAAAACAAATTAAAAGAACTAAAGCTGTACTTACCTGTGATATTGATAATTGTGAATATGAATAGAAGCTAAAATAGTTAAAAAATAAAAAATATATATATACATAATATTATAA